AGCAAAACCAGCATTAAAGTTCAGCCAGTCCCAAGCTGTACTTTTAACTCTCTTTATGGAGTTACAACCTTGACCAGTAAACAGGAGAGAACAACCCACAGCTCTACAAGCAGCTTTTTCCACCAAAAATAAAACTACTTACATTTCCACCACCTCTTCTTCCCTTCATGCTCCCAACACTCTGATTCCACAAAAACCATCTAATGGTCTAATTTTGTTCCACTTGCAGTCTGGGTGTTTATCATGCCACTCCTGGATGCTCAAAACCACACTCTTTGCCTCTCTCCTCCCATCATCACAGATGCTCTGCATCCTAATCCAGGCTTTCTGCTGCAAATTCACATGGCTTTAAAGGCCAAGGTCGTCTTATCTGGGCTAAAAAAGCACTGTGGGTTTCTAGCACTGTAGGAAATGTTTAATTATTGTTCTTTTGTGGAGTAAAAAATAAACAAAGCAGCTGAGTATCAACAGCCAGTGAACTGCTCAAACACCCCTTTAGGGGAGTTGTTAAAAATCCACTTGCTGCCTCTAAAACCCTCAGATCCAAACCCTGCTTCAGTGCAGCACTGAGACATCTCCCCAGGAGAAGAGTCCAGCCTCTTAAAAGCCCTCTGTGATACATTTTCAACTGTTTCAGAGAAGAAATATTATTTTTGGCACTGCAAACCAGCGGAGGGGAGCACCCTCTGTGTCAGTCCAGCTGCCCCCTTAATACCTGTGACACCGGGCATGGAGGGCACTCTGGGCTTTGCTGGCAACAACAAAGAGAAAAAGGAGGGCTGACAACTCTGCCAGTCCTTCCCCTGCCCCACATAATAGGATCTGCAAGCAAAAATAAGGTCAGACACTTTCAAATTGCTGCAACAGGAGAGCTGGGACATCACTTTTTATCTAGTTCTGCAAAAGGCTAAAAATAAGCCTGATGTGAGGCAGAAGAAAGGAGCCTGAAAATGGATTATTCTCATTTTTCCTGTAATGCAATTTGCAGATGTGCTGTGTTTAAGGCAGCAGAAGAGGTGTCTGGACTAGGGATGGTTCTTTTTGTGGCCTGTGGCTCTCTCTCCTTTGTAAAGAATATTTTCTTCCTAGTGTTTGTAGCCTCCACTTTTAAAATGAACCATCCATCGGCACTGCAACCCAGCAAGAGCTTCCACACCCGATCCAAGGCTTTAAGAGTAAAACTGTTTTCTTATGAAATGTTTAATTTTCATTTTAGGAGAAAGGAAAAAACCTGCTGGAGCTGCTTAAATAACCTGGTTCTTGCCATGTAAACAAATGGGTGAAGGATTCAGGCTTGCAGGGGCTCTCAGGTGCTGAGTGGTCGATGGTTTAAGACTTTAAATTCCTTTGTCCTGAGCAGCTGCATCGGTGCAGTTGTTTATCCCTGCTCTGGCAGGGACTCACACTGCAGTTGCATCCTGCTGCCTGATCTGCATTGCTGTATCCTCAGAGAGGACCTCCAGGATTGCAGAGAGGGACTGAGCAATTAGCAAACCTGGATATCCACCCAGAGCATCTTTTCATACCTCTGGGAAAATACATGGAAGATCTCTGGGTATAAAACCAGGGATTAAGTTAAAAAAATATTAACAATTAAAAAAATAAAATAAAAAACCTCTGAGGAGTACATTATGCTGCACTTTTTGAAAATTGCTCTTTGTAACAGGAGGAGCACACACTGTTCCCTGCTGCTGGTGAAGCTGCCAGGAAGGGCCATGGAGGCTCCGCTCCTGAGCTCTCCAGGGGGAAGCTCTGTTATCTCCCCGTTATCTGCACTGGGAGGGGGAAGGGGACACACACCCAAACCACAGGCACCGTTCTCAGCAGTGCTGAGCTTTCACTGCCACTGGAAGAAGCCCCATGAGCACTCCCAGCCTTGGAAGCTGCTCTGTGCCAGGGCTGCACAGGTACCTGTGATGGAAGCCAGGGATAAAAGTGCAGTTATCCAATTCCTGATCCATTTCTGAGGGCTCTGCTGTGGCGACACTGTACGAATCATCTTCCTAGAATCTACCTTGGGTCTCACCAATTTTCCTTAAGCAGGTGAAAAAATCCAGCACAGAGTGGAGTCATGCTTGGAAATAAAATACAACTGCTTTTTAAGCCTCCTCTGCAGAGGTACAGAGTGGGAAAAGAAAAACAAGTCAAGTGAAGTCACAGCAGGAATTGTATTGGAGTGGTCTGAAAAAGAATTGAAGTATTTATCATTACTAGTGCCTAAGAGCTCTTACAGAACCCGTTCTTAAGAGTTTTCTCTCTCTTATCACTTTGGAAGGGTGGGATTAAATTCATGTTACAAAAATTGCCCCCGAAATGATTGGATTAAAGCACAGTGATGTACTCTGTCCTGTTCTCTGCCAGTCCTACATTTACTAAAAGCCTCTTTAAGCTGTCAGACTTCTGAAGCAGCATGACAATAGTTATAAAAGAATTGTGTTTAAAAAAAAATAAATAAATAAGGAATTGCTGTAGGAAGCAATTTTTTTCATGAGTGTTTTTGTGAGAGGGGCAGCCTTGTTGACTGGAATTCCTGTGCCAAAAAAAGTCACCTACAAAATATGCCAGGAATTGTGGCAACGACAAAAGTAGTGTGAAAGGCTGGAAATTCTGTTTTTGAAAGGAAGCGTGGTGGAAGCTGGAGGAAGCTTTACAGGAAAGAGAGGTTGCTCTCCTGGTATCTGCCCTGCCCGGAAGGAGCAATTATCTCTAAGCAAATGCCCGGAGACCGTTACACAAAGGAACAAACACACACAGAAATCCCGGCAAGAAAAACCCCGAACCAGTTTTCACAGAGGTGTGAAAATGAAAGCAGGGAAAGCTCGGTTTCCACAGGCTGCAGAGAGCAGTGTTCCAGTTCTCTGCCCCCGCATCAGTTCATTCGGGAGGTGGGTGACACTGCCCCGTGTGCCCCGACCCCGGGGGTGATGGATGGGTTTAATCTCCGGCGCCCGCGATTCCCGCAGGTTAATTGATTTCTTTTGGCAAAGCCCCTTTCCAAGACCCGGGGTCTGAGCAGCAGGACTGGCTGGAGAGGGAAAAACAAGGCATCTTGAAATAGAAATTCCTCTGTACCCAGCAAGTAATAGGCAGGAGAGGGGGGAGGGCTGGCAGGAAGGTGTGCGGTGCCAAGGGCAGATGGCCTGGCACGGAGGTGGGAGCTGGACGGTGGATTTGGGGTCCAGCACGGAGCTTTAAGCTGCTGAGAGCAAAATGCTCTGTTGTCTTTCCTCTCCCAGGCAAGCATGGAGCTACCAACAAATAAACCCTGCCCCATAAACACTGAGAACACTGAGAGAACCTGTCAGCAGTGGCAGCCAGGACCCAGTTCAGCACCGACCCCGCTGCAGCTGAGTACCCCCCAGAGTGTCCAGCCTGACTTCTCTTAACCTGAATGAAGCTGCTCTTTCCAGGAACCTCTCTGCAGGATGCCAGGGTATTTTTAACATGGGAGTGGGCACATCCCAGAAACAGCGCACGAGGAGTCACTGGAGGGAAATTATCTCGTTAACTGTTGTTTATGACAGTTGTTCTCGGTTTGTAACACGTAAGATCTGTGGCTGAATAATACAAAATTCATAAACAAATATGAGTCAGACCAGTAAGGAAAGGGAAAGATGCTGAAAGAGAGCAACAAAACCAGGTCTGACACCTGCACATGTTTCTTCAGAGAGTGGAGCAGGGGCTGTTTGGGAGGTTGGTGGGCTTTGGACATGAACAGAGCACAACCAAAGCTACTCAGGGTAGACAGCAACAGAGAAACAAACCCTTCTGTGCAGGAGCAAGCAGAGCTGTGGGCTGTGATCTCCCTCCCAACAGTAACACCACTGCAAAGCTGGGGTTTTGGTCTAACAATTGTGTAAGACACACCAGCACTGGCACCCTGTGAGTGACCAGCCTGTGACCTGCAGTGCCTCCTGAGCAACACAAAGCCCCCTTCCTTGAGAACTCCACTGGAGTGAGACCAGCTGGATACCACGGTGCCTTGGCCAACAGAGAGGCCCATGTGGGCTTGATATGCTGATATAAAGATGGGAGTGATGTGGAACTCATCAGCACCTGAAATCCTGAGCCCCTCCTTCACCACCTGAGGTGCTGCTCGTGCCCTGCTGGCCACGCACGTGGTGCAGAGGGACACACAGCTCCACCACAGTTAAAGGTGGAACGAGCACTCTCCTCTCTGAACACAGTGAAGACAAACACTGAAGCTTTCCTAAGAGCAGGTAAGCACCCAGAAACTCATGTCCATCCTGCCATGTGCCCAGGTGGTCAATGCCTGGACTCGCATGTGCACAAACACAGAAACAGGGAGGCAGATGGAGAGTCTTCCCATCTTCCTGCCTCATGTCTTCTCCAAAGATTTTGCTGTAACATTTACCTCTTTTTTCTCTTAGGAAGTCCTTCCTAACATCTAATCTCCAACTTCCCTTCCTGCCATTTAAAGCCCTTTCTCTGCAGATAACAAATCAGGCACACACGCGTCACGTCCCCACAGCCACGCTGAGGTTCAGCTCTGCAGGACTTCACCTCCTTACCAGATGAGGTCTTGTTCTTCCACAATGTTTAAGCATCTCATTATAGGGGAATGTACATATTTAAAGGCACCAGGATGCAGAAAACTTCTCCTTCCTCTGGTGTTTATGTGTGATAGTAAAAGGAAGGTGGAACTGCTCTTACAGGGCCACAGCACCATCTGTGGCACTGCTTCCAAATCCCTTGCATCCATCTGATAGGAAAGTGTGAGCCAGAAGGCATCACCCAAACTGTTCACACACTTATGTCAACCTCCAAACACCTTATTTTGCTCCCAGTTGTACTGTGCCCACAAAGAGTGATATTCCAGGGCCCCTCTCCTTAAGGTACACCAAGGCTCCCATTCTCCAGGGGGGGAAAGGCAAAGGCAACTTACAGTCAGCAGCAGACTAATCACCTACCCACCATACTCAGCATGCCATTGCACACAGTAACTCTTATTTTTTGACAATTATGAGAAAGAGACTAACCCCAGGAGTTTGTATGTCATGTGGAAGCGTCTTCCGAATTACTGTAGTTGCCAACCGTGAGTTGATCCGAATCGGTTTCTTTACTGAAAAACAGTAGCTTGTTTTTACAGGCTGCAGGGAGGGACTGGGAAAGCCTCTTGATCACAGCGCCCCTCGAGCACGCAGGACCCCACACACAGCTTTGCTTCCTTCTGGCCTCACGTTCCTGCCTGCTGGAGGTTGGTGAGCAGGGCACGGGGCACGGAGACGCGGGTGCCACGTGGAGCACCAAGCTCTGGGGGGCATCTCCTGCTCCTCACCTCGCAGCACAACGGTTCCAGCACAGCAGCCCCTCACCACGGGTGGCCTGGGCTGTGCCATGCTCAGGCAAGGGTGAAAGGGGCCTGCCTGTGCCCCCCAGGGCTGTGCTCCCCTCCAGGCCACACGGCCAACCACTGAGGTCCACCAGAGCAGAAGCGTGGAAAGGATGCCCAGCCAGCACCACCCAAGCCCCTGTGCCTCGTGCAGCCTCATGCTGAGCCCAGGACCTCACACAACCCCACATCCTTTACCCAGGGGGACAGAGGCCAGGGAAAGAGTCCAAGCATAACGTTCAGGAGAGAGAACAGGCTGTGGGAGCTCCCCGTGGGCAATGGCCAGGTTACTCACTGTTGTTCAGCTTTGGCTCGGTCACTGAGGAAGAACAGGGCCGTGGCCAGGAAGAACATCCCTCCCAGGACGACGACGAAGGGGCAGAGCATGAGGGCGTAACCCAGGCTGAGGAACTCCCACACCGGGGACTCCTTTGTGCTTTGTCGAATCAGGTCTGAGATCTAGGGGAGAGGGGCACGAGAATGAGTCACTCAGATGGAAAAGAGACACGGGGACAGTGGAGGGAACACGGTGCCCCAAACACCCGCCCACCCACGGCGTGCCTGAGGTTTGGAAGGGAGCAGTGTGTTCGGCAAGAGCTCAGTGTCCCCTGCCCACTCCAGCCCTCCACGCTGGAGCCAGGGCAGCTCGTGCTGGGAGCAGCTTGGCAGGGGTTCTGCCCTCCCTGTCGCTCTTCTGGTTGATCCATTATTGTCCCCACAGCCCTCTCATGCTCTCCTGGGCTGCAGCAGTGGCTGCATCTGTGGGTGCCCAGCCTTGGGGGTGCCGGCAGGGCCACGCTGGCATTGAGAGAGTGATCAATCTCCTGCCACTCCTATCAAGTCCTGCTCACCCCCACACCTGACCTACCTTTGGGCAAGAGGAGGTATTAATTTGCATTTCTGTGCACTGAGTGGGAAGGGGGCAATGTTTCCCACAAAATAAAAACCCAGAGATCCCATCTGATTTGCAGAAACGGAACTTGACCATTTGGGGGTTTTGTGCCCATGTCTGGGGTGTGGGGCTCATTCCCTCCTCCAGCCTCCCAAGCCTGAAGTGTGTGTGTGTGTGTGCAAGATGTGGCTCTGCCCAGGGCTCAGACACACGGGGTCACTCACACCAAAGAACCACACACCACCAAATTTATGAGCTGAGGGAACCTGCCCCTTCCAACAGCCAAAAACCATAACTACATGGAAGTGAACAAAAATTTGCACCTACACAAAGGAGCAGTGACACACAATGGCATTATTTACTTCGTTATGAAACGCTTTTGCTAAAACACAGCAAAATTTAATGCCCATCTGTAGCTAAACCCATCACATTTTAATATTTACTGTCCAGCCAACAGCTTCGCTCTCCATAAATCCCACAGGGTGGGAGCAGCAGCTGGGGTGGGTCTCAAGGCACTGGGTATTTAAATGTCCAGCTCTGTTTTTATCCATGACCTTTTGTGAAGGCAGAAACGCCAGTTTATACCAAAAGACTGCAGGGAATTTGCAACATAAAATCCTGCTGCTGTGCACACACGCAGATCAGCTCCAGAAATAGTCAGGGCTTGTGCAGCAACTTCCAAATTGCCACATTACTGGGGATGGGAAAGGTGGGGTCAGACACAACCCACACAAGCAAGCTCTGACATTCAAGGCTTAAATCTTGACAGTCAAGTGAGGAAATGTCACATGCAGGAGAAATCACCGATTCACAGCCCTGCAGCCACCTGGGAGGTGAATGTGTGTGGGGAGAGGCCTCAGCACAGGCCAAGCACAACAGAAGGTCACAGAAGGACGATGCTCACGGGGACAATCAGGTCACTGAGTGTGTTTGAGCAGGGAGACCCTGGAGCATTGGTGGTCCCTGGGTTGACACCCCTCTTACAGCTCCTCCTGGCTGGAGAGATAGATGGAAAGGAGGAGCAGCCTGATGCTGCAGGTGACAGCACTGGGACAAAGCTAAGGAGGAGTTCCTGTCCCCTCAAAGAGAAGAAAAGCAAGAGTGTTGCAAACAAGTCTCGTGTGAGAAATGATGGTTACAGTGTCCTTAGACTGAAGCCAAGTAACAGCGGCCATCAGTCTGGGAGATTTATTAAAAACCTGCAACAGGACTTGGATGTGAAAAGAAAGCACCCAGAGGAAAGTAGCAGAGTGTGCTCTGCACCCAGGAGACAGGGACATCAGCTGGTCATTAATTCCCTTTTGGATCCAGACACCTTAATTCCCAACATTTCCCTTACTCTTCATTATGAACCAGAATTTGGCACCAAGTCAGCCTCTCTGTCAGGCTGCAATAGCTGGAATTGAGGCTATTCTAAGAAATCTAGACATTCTAAACCACTTTTCATTATTGGGAATGGATATAATTATTCTCCAAGAGGACCAGACAATAAATCACTTGACAAATTGACATGATAAATCAGCAGCAGAGGATGAAAAGCCAGGCATGTGCTCCTGCTTGCTTTCCCTTATGGATGACACGGCATTCTAGGCTAAAACCAGCTTTGAAAATGTAAAGTCTCCAACAAGTAAAACTCCCAATGCAGCTTGTCCAGTACTTTTCCTTCCAACACATTATGCTGAGCTTTTACACCAACCAATCATGTTAATATCAAACCTGCTGTATTTTTCATTTTTGACCCAGCACATCCTGTAAGTGCACAGTTTAGGAAAAGCCGTGTTTCCTCCCATCCAAGGGATAATTCTTCCCATCAGGCCAGCTGGGCTTTCTTATGTAGGTTCCACATAATCCCCTCACCCATGGCTGCAACTCTAGAGCTCTACCAGGGCCCACACAGGCGTTTTTGCTGTAAACACTCCCAGCTCTCTGTTGTTTTGTTCCACTGAGTTACAAGCCACCTGCTAAGGCTGGAACTTTGGCACCTCCTTCTCCAGAGGACACGGGACATAATTACAGACGTGGGCTCCAAGAATGACACACCGTTTGCCAAATGCTCTGCTCTGCACTGCCAGCTCTGGGCTTTCCAGACTCCTCACGACGACAGCAGCCCAAGCTGGCCAAGGGTGATTTGGCAAGACCCAAAAGGAGCGTTGTTTTTGGTGTCTTGTCTCCAGTGTGAGGAGCAGATCGCAGGGGCTGCTGCACGGTCGGTGCCAGAGCTGCAGCCTGGAGCCATGTGTGGGATTCCTTCCTTTGTTCTGCCAGCTGGGGGGTGGCAAAAGCTTCAGAAAAACCCACGTTTACCCCGAGGTGTTGGGGTGGGAAATCAAGAAGGGAGTCCTGCTGCTGCTCTGCAGTCTGATCACAGGGCTCTGATGCCAAGCTCTGGATGAAAAGTTCCCCTCCCCTCCCTCGCCGTGCAGATCTCAGACCCAGAGGAATGACTTTGCTAAATCAACTTGAGCCTCATGGCATTCCTGCAGCAGAGCAGGGCTGGTGTGTGCCCAGCCAGCTGGACAGAGCCCAGCCGGACACAGAGCCCACTTCCCGGAGAAGGGACAGAGCAGTGCAGTGGCCACGACCCCAAACCCCAAATCCCTGGCTGTGCCTCCTTCCGAGGGCAGCAGACAATGCAGGGACAAAGGGGAACTTCACTGCTTGCTTGGGAAGCACGTGGGGTGTGGTGTGGAACACGGGACAGGCCATGGATGCGGCAGGAGCCGAGCTGGGCTGAGCCCAGGGAAGGTGTCTGGACTCTGTTCTGTCTGTCCTGAACAGGGTGGGGAAATGAACTGATTTATTAATTAGAACTGATTTATTAATTAGACAGTGGAATGGTAACAACATCTCTGCAATCACCATTTCCTTCCCTCTCATTACCAAGCCAACATCTCAATTCCTCTGCAGTTGCTTGATTTCTCTGACATTGCCACTTGGGCACAAATCCTGCTACATAAAAGGTTATTTCTGGCACAAATACCTGACTTTCATGATTACCAGTCTGATACAAGCCAGGTTCTCCCTGGCTGCTCTCTTCAGTAGAGTTCCCTAACACAGTATTCCCTGTAACCCCACAGTGTCACCACAGTGGTTTGGGGTCCACCCACTCCCAAGTCAGAGATGCATGTGAAAGGTTCCTTTGATTTTTCTTTAAAAAATCTAATATGAATGCAAATGAAGATGAGAAAGCAAAAATAAGGGATTTTATAAAGTAAACAATTTGCTGGGCCTGTGGGGGAGCACAAGCATTTATACTGTGCTAAATGGCATGAGAAACACTTTATAATAGGAGGAAGTAAACCTGATTTTATAATGATATTTGTTCAGACAACTACAGAAAGGGAAAAGCAACTGTGGTGGTCTAAAAGCTATTTCAATTTTAACCTTGGCATGTTTGGATGTTGAATCAAAAAAAAAAAAATAAATCTGTTAATCTTAATTGCATCCTTTTGAGATTGCAAACAGATTTCATACTTGGCTGGTGACAGTATCAATATCCTGCATTAATACTGTGCCCCAGAAGTACCCACAGCAAGGATCTCTGCACTGCTTCCCCCACAGCAGGTTCACGTGGTTGTGCCCTTGTTCCCCTCCCAGGACCACCAGACACACGTGGTGCTGAGAAAGCTGAAGCCCAAAGGCTGCAGCAGGTGAAGATCCTCCACCAGGGGTTCTGCTGCAATGCCAGCACGTGGGCCTGGTACATCTGCAGGGCAGAGCAACATCTGCCTCCTCTGCAGCCCTCTGGAGAGGGTTGTGAGTCTGTTTTCTTGGTGTCTTCCACTGCCTTTCTTCTCCAGGTCTGGTGTGCCCAGGGCTTGTCTGAGTTATCACTGGGTCCCTCCTGTCCCAGCAGGAGATGCCTCAGGAATGTGGAGGAGCTCACATGTGTGGGGATGGGGGTGCCCAAGCCCACACAGAAATGGGTTTGTGGCACAGGACCATGACCTGGGAGCACCTCCTTTAGCAGCATCCCTGTCCCCCCCCTCTCCCTGCAGCACAGGCCCCTTCCCTGGCTGGGTGTCCCAGACACCTCGCTCTGAGAGCCGCTCAGCACCACGAGAACTGTCCCTGCTGGGAGCACACAGGGTCCCTGGCAGCCCAGAGCAACAAACCACTTATTTAATGAGGTTTTTAGTGCACAGGAGGAGTGACAGAGCAGATGGGACAGAGCCTGAAATACTCGAGTGCAACAACGACCTGCTCTGGGTTTCTGGGCTTTTCTCTAATGAGAGACTTTCACATACACTGTGAGTCAAAAATACTGAGAACCTGCACATCTAACCAGAGCCATGGCCATGAGAGGTGCACAGAGCCCTGGAAAAACACCAGAGCAGGCTGTGAACTCTTGGCAAAGAGCGTTTTATAGATGGGAATTCATCTGGGATTTTAGGGCAGACTTGAATCTTGTCTGTTGCTGAGTCATCAGAAGTGGGAAGCTTGTTAGCTCGTTGCAATGAGGAGATAAATCCCACGAGGACTGGTCTCCAGGTGGTTAATTCTCCCCTTATTTTGCAGCTGACAGCCATGTCAAAGATTTGGCCTTTCAGTACACTACAAAAAAGGC